TAAATATAAATATATATAAGTATATATATAAGTATATATATAAATATATATAAAAATATATATATAAATATATAGATATATAAAAATATATATAGAGATATATATATAAAAATATATATATAAATATAGGGGTTTTTAACAGATATTTGGGTTTTTTATAGATATGCTTCTCCAGAGTGTGCTGTTAATAGGTCACTAATAGGTGAGAGAAGATTCACCAAGGCCAATCAGGTCTTAGGTCCACCATTGTTTCTATAAGAACTGTAGATTTCTAATAATAAGGTGTCTTTTCATGCCTTCTGAGGATGGAGTCTCTGTATCACCTCTGTCCCTGATACCTTTTTGGTGGTAAAATGCTCTTATGTTCACCCAGTGTTGTGTTCCTTTCAGGAGCTGTCACTGGAGTGGGGTGGATTTGTCCCAGACTCCAGTTTAGGGACATGACCATGGATTTTGTGAGACTGTCAATCAAAACCCAGCTCTCTCTTTCCCCTCTCCCTGTACACTTCCTCCCGAGTCCTTCCCTCTCTCTCAGTTGACAGATCAGTCCTTTGTGTCCTCTTTATTCCTGATTTATTCCTACTTCCTCAGGCATAACTCATCCTTGACTTTGTCCCCTTGCACGCTGCTGCATTTCGAGGATGTATTCATCATTCCCTAAATTTCCCATCTAATAATCAGAGTTAAAAGACATTTGGAGTGTTTCTTCCTCTGAGACACTTTCACACCCAAGCTGTTTTTGCCCAGAATCCCATCTATTTACCACAGAGTTTCATGCTCTGGAGTCTTGGGATTGTGTCCTGTAGATCCCTGAGCAGAACTAAACTGCAACCTTTAACTCAGTGGTCTCAAACCTTTGCTGGAAATGCTCAATAACAACAAAAAGAAAAAGCAACCAGGCTGTGGGGTAGCACCACAACTTGCTGTTCTCCAGGGGGAAACCAGTATTTAAACCAAACTCTGGGAGTTCAAGGCACCTTCTGGGCAATGTGTTGTTTGCAAGCCATAAAGTTGTGATTCCATGAGCAGGACAGTGGTGTGAAACCTCTGGAACAGCTGTCTGAAACAGCTGGATCTGCTCTGTGACCTTCCCAGGGACCTTGGGTGTGCTGATGGAGAGGAGATGTGGCAGGAGCCACGTTGAGGGGTGATCTGGCCTCACACAGGAGCCCTGTGTGGTGGCTCATGGCATCCCTGCTGGCCACATCCCCAGTGGAAAAGGCACTTTGGGTTTATTTTGGAAACAGCCAGCTCAGAGCCCAAGTCCAGCCCTTGCTGGCTGTGGCCTTTTGTTTATTTGCTTTGTTTTTAGAACATAATTACTCTCTTGTAGTCTCTGCATGTCCATGGCAGTGATTATTGCCTTCCCAGCTGCTGTGATTCCTGCCATCCAGACACAGGGAAAAAAAACCATCCACAATTCCCTTCTCCTTGGTGCATCCTCTGAGGGCTTGTACAAACCCTGCTCTATTCTGCAGGCTAAACATCCAGGCCTCCTTGCCCCTGACCTCTGCTGGTATTTATTAATTAAGCCAAATTATAAATTATGAGGCTCCAGGACTGATTGGGGCTCCAGGACAGAGGGTACAGCACGAGCAGATGGGAGAGGAGAGAGTGCCAGCAGCAAGCAGAGAGAAAATCCTGCTTCTAGGGTCACTCAGATGGCTGCTGGAAGATGGCAAAAGAGCCCCAGGCTCTCCCTGCTTTGTCCCAAAAAGCTGCTCCTGGTGCTCTCAGGCTGCTGATGCTCTTTCTTCAACAGGTGAACTTCCTCCCCTGTGAGGTTCAGTGTTTTGGAAAGCGTCCTTGCCTGCTGTAAAGCCTTCCTGGAGTTTCTCACTGGAGTCTCTCTGGTTTCCAGATCAAATTTGCTGTGTTTTCACAGAATGGTTTAGGTTGGAAGGGATCTAGCAAGGTTCTCCTCACCACTCCTTTCTCCTGTGAGTGATAGCCTGACCTCAAATCAATTCTCACCTGCATGGGCCTTGAAGAATTTATGTCTGGAGCCTGTCTCTTCTCATTTTGTGTTGGCTGTTTGTTTTAGTGGGCAGATTTTATCCCATTTTTGCAGGTGCTGTGTCCTGGTACTGTGATGAATTTTGGACAGAGGGGCTGCTTGGTATCAGTCTTGGGATTGCAGCAGTTCTCATTTCCCTGCAGCTCTGCTGACTCTGCAGAGCAAAATACAGTAAAGTAGAGGGGTAAAACAGGTACCTTTTTAGTACTTGAAAAGAATAATTTCTCCCTAGATCTGCCTAGCTCCTGATCAAACCAGTGCCTGTTAGAAAGGTGGATCATAACTCATCAGTGACGGGAGCTGGTGTTCAGGGTCGCCACGTGATGCTTCTGAACACAGGGCTCAAACAGGGACAGCTTCCCTCTTCTGCTGCTCTCTCAAGGATGGGCCCTTTTGAAGGAGGAATGGTTGTGTGGGGAGAGCTCATCCCACCACTGCTCTATCCATCATTATAAAGGTTATTAACAGCCTACGTGACCAGCCTGCCTATCCCTGCAGAGCCAGTCCTGCAAACTCTGCACTATAAGCTTGGTTTTATTAAATATTTGCTTGACCAGAGAGGCAAAGCAGAACAGGGTAAACATGACTAAAGCAAATGTGGGCTGACCTTTGTCCATCATCCATGCAATGCCTGCGGCTGCTGCGGCAGGGAGGGCAGCAGGAGGTGAAGGTGATGCTACAACAGACTGGGAATTCTGGCTGCTGTGAGAGAATTTTGAAATATTTGGGCTGGCATAAAAGTGGTGGCTGCTCTACAAGCCCAGACTTACCCTTTCCACTATCAGATCTTGAGGTGTTGTGAAGTCCCCAGGATGAGGTGAGAGATGAAAATTTGTGACTCCATGTTTCAGAAGGCTGATTTATTATTTTATGATATTATATTAAAAGAAATTATATACTAAAACTACACAAAAGAAAAAGATACATCAGAAGGCTAAACAAGAATGATAATGAAAGCTTGTGACTGACTACTCAGTCTGACATAGCTGATGGTGATTGGTCATTAATTAAAAACAATTCACATGGAACCAATCAAAGATGCACCTGTTGGTAAACAACCCCCAGACCACATTCCAAAGCAATCAGATAATTATTGCTTATATTTATTTTCTGAGGCTTCTCAGCTTCTCAGGAGAAAAATCCTGGCAAAGGGATTTTTCAGAAAATATCATGGTGACAGGATCTAATCAGCCTATGGGTCAAAAGAATGTGGGATTTATTCTCCCTTTTATTTTCTGAAGTAGATTTTTCAGTTTTGCCAGCATTAGCAGAGCTGCAGAGATCTGAAAAAGCTGCACATCCAGGCCTGTGTCACTGTCTCATCTTGCTCCCTGCTGGGATCTGCAAGCAGGGATTTTTTTCCTTGCCTCCTACTTGTGCCAGCCTGGCTGTCATCACTGATGACACCCCTGATTTCAGCAAAGTCACTCTGTGACAGAGGGGCTGGGACACGGCAGGAGTGGTGCTGTGTTTGGCTTGTGTCCTTTCTAAAATCAAGAGCAGCTCTGTGAAGTTCTGATCTGGGTGACAGAGGGATGAAGCGCCTGGCCACCAGGTTTGTGTGGTCAGCACTCAGTGAGGAGCTTGGCTGGTGAGGCCTGAGCTGGTAGAACTCCATCTCCCACATGCTCTGTGAGGCCATGAAGGGGTAAAGCTGCTTTTAGGACAAAACCAACCAAAAAAGTGAAGGAAAAGGGAGCAGATGGATGTGCTGAGTAGGAAGAGGTGTTTCCATGGGGCTTGGGGATGTGCCCACTAAATGTTTGAACCTCACACTGCTTCCATCACCATAGTCAAAACCTGGGAGATTTTAAGGGACTGAGTGGTGCAAGGACAGTCTTTTCCTTCTCTCTGGAAAGGTGCCAGGGTGGTACTTGGGTTGTTGTTTTTCCTACTTCACGATGCTTTAGGCTTTATCACTGCTGGTATGTTTGAACCCCACACTGCTCCCATCACCATGGTCAAAACCTGTGAGACTTTAAGGGACTGAGTGGTGCAAGGAAAGCCTCTTCCCTCTCTTTGGACCAGGCTGGTTCTTGGGTCATTGTTTTTCCTACTTCATGGTGCTTTAGGCTTTATCACTGCTGGTAGATAAGTCTCAGTCAGCTGAGATCCCCAGGAGAGCTGGATCTCTTTTAGATGATGTTCCCTTGGCTGTGAAGTGGGTGGAGAGTGGTTTGTGGTGAGAGCCCAGGGCAGAGAGGACACCCAGTGCCCCTTTTGGTCCCAGCCCTTTGTGGGTGGAGAGTGGTTTGTGGTGAGAGCCCAGGGCAGAGAGGACACCCAGTGCCCCTTTTGTTCCCAGCCCTTTGCAGATGTGGCAGTGACAGCTGGCACACCACAACCCCTGGGTCTGTATTGCAGGCTGGGCTGCTGTGAGGCAGCTTTGATCTGGATTCACAGAGCTCCTGCTCAAACAGAGCTGTTCTGGGCTGGGATCTCCGTGAAAGGATGTTAATGTCACACCAGAGCAGGCTCCTTCCTGGCAAACTTCAAGGGCTGCAGGAGAGCTCAGCATCCATCTGGCCCCATCCCTGTAGGCAGATCCCTGACCTTCTCCAGGCTTCAGTGCCTCGTCCAGAAGAGCAGGACAATAATTCTTCTCCAGTTCTGGCATCTCAGATAGCAAATCCACAGCTGGGCTGGTGCTGGCAGTGCAGACAGCAATGCTGGGTGATGTTTTTACCATTACCCTTCTGCACTTGCAGTCAATATTTATGCTGCACCATGGGGCACATGGGTGTGTAATGGAGAGGCAAAGGGTGCCGATTTATTACTCTGCTGTGTGATTTCTGCTTTTTCTCTCAGCATCTTTTCTGTCAGGAGGGTTCCCTTTGTGCTGGTTTTAAGTAGAGAGCTCAGAGTGGAGAAAGGGAGGATTAGCAATTAAATACGCTCTGATGATGGCATGGTTGTGAAGGAGGGAGGAGGAAGGAATACTCCATAGTGATGTACTTTTGTTTTCTTTTTTCTCTGCTTGTAGGACAGAATCTGCCAGGGAATTGGCGTTTTGAGGAGTTGTACAGCTTCTAATCCTTGTTGCCTTGGGAATACAAACCTCTCTAATCATGTCGCCGGCCATGTGGAAATGGACTTGCCTGGTTTCCCACCTCCTGCTGTCCACCACAGTGTCACCTCTGGGCAGACAGCAGCCACCCCATCCAAAGAGGCCCTTCATCACCTTCACTGCAGAGCAAGCAGAGGGAAACTTCAACCACTTGGTGGTGGACGAAAGGACTGGGCACATTTACTTGGGGGCCGTCAACAGGATCTACAAACTCTCCAGTGACCTGAAGGTCCTGGTGACCCATGAGACTGGTCCTGACGATGACAATCCCAAGTGCTATCCTCCCAGGATAGTCCAAACCTGCAACGAACCCTTGACGCCCACCAACAACATAAACAAAATGCTCCTCATAGACTACAAGGAGAATCGGTTGATAGCCTGTGGGAGTCTGTACCAGGGTATCTGCAAGCTCCTGAGGCTGGATGACCTCTTCAAGCTGGGAGAGCCCTTCCACAAGAAGGAGCATTACCTCTCTGGGGTGAATGAGAGTGGCTCTGTTTTTGGAGTCATTGTTTCTTACAGCAACATGGACGACAAGCTGTTCATCGCCACGGCTGTGGACGGCAAGCCGGAGTATTTCCCCACCATCTCCAGCAGGAAGCTCACCAAGAACTCCGAGGCTGATGGGATGTTTGCATATGTCTTTCATGACGAGTTTGTGGCCTCCATGATCAAGATCCCCTCAGACACCTTTACCATCATCCCCGACTTTGATATCTACTACATCTACGGCTTCAGCAGCGGGAACTTTGTCTACTTCCTGACTCTGCAGCCTGAGATGATCTCCCCACCCGGCTCCACCACGAAGGAGCAGGTTTATACCTCCAAGCTGGTGAGGCTTTGCAAGGAGGACACGGCCTTCAACTCCTACGTGGAGGTGCCCATTGGCTGTGAGAAGAACGGGGTGGAATATCGATTGCTGCAGGCTGCCTACTTGTCCAAGGCTGGAGCCATCCTGGCCAGGTCTCTGGGGGTTGGCCCTGAGGATGATATCCTCTTCACAGTCTTCTCCAAGGGGCAGAAAAGGAAGATGAAGTCCTTGGATGAGTCTGCTCTTTGCATCTTTGTCCTGAAGAACATCAATGACCGCATAAAGGACAGGCTTCAGTCCTGCTACAGGGGAGAGGGGACGCTAGATCTGGCCTGGCTCAAGGTCAAGGACATTCCCTGTAGCAGTGCGGTAAGTGAGCCCCTGAGCACCCCTTTGCCCTCCTCAACTGTCAACAGGTCTTGTCTTCTGATAACCAACAGGTCTTGTCTTCAAATAATCAACAGGTCTTGTCTTCTGATAACCAACAGGTCTTGTCTTCAAATAACCAACCTTAAAGCAGAGACCAAAGAGCTGAGGCTGCCTTGTCCCAGTGCTGGCTCTGCCTCCAGTTCACCACACCACCCAATTTAACCAGTTCATGCCCCCATTTAGCTCAGGGATAAGCTGCTGAAGGTACCAGAACAAGCAGAAATTCTGTGTTTGCTGATGAGCTAAAGCAAGGGGCCTTGGAATATTTGGGAGGAATATACCTGTTGTAGTTACTTCATGGTGCAAATCCTTGTCCCAGTGCTGGCTCTGCCTCCAGCTCACCACACCACCCAATTTAACCAGTTCATGCCCCAATTAGCTCATGGACAAGCTGGTGAAGGTTACGTCATGGTGCAAATCACAGGGGTGAAATCACTTAGACCCAGGTGCACTCTCAGCTCAAACCTAAACCAAAACAAGACCTAGAAATGTCACAGCTTGTGCCAGTTTCTGTGCATGCTGGTGTCCTTTTGCTTCCCGGGGCTGTAGCTGGGGCAGGATTTATTCAGGGGACTTTCTGAAGCCAGGGCTTCATTTCATCCAGGGCTGAGAAGCACTGGCCATTAACCATCAAAGCCCCTCGCCTTCCGGTCTCCAGCCAGCTCTGCACTGAGAAATTAAGGCCTGGCTGCAGATCAAGGATTAAACACTGCAAGATTTAAGGGCAGGACTGGGGAAGAGGCTGGTCTGTCTGACCTACAAATGGTCTGAAGAAATTGCCTCGGTTTATTCTGAGTGTCACTGCGGGAATGTGCACAGGGCTGGCTTTGATGGCAGGCACAGACAGGGGCATTACAGCCCAGGGCTGCAGGAGCTGCTCCCCAGGCTTTGATTGCCACCCTTAATGAGCTCTTTCAAGTGAGAGGCCAGTTCCAGTCTGAGCAAAGGGAATAGGGAGAAATGCCACAGTGCTTTCCTGCCCAAAATCTCCAGGCAGGCAGTGCTCAGGATATGGGATTGCTCCTTGGTGCTCAAGCCTTGGTATCTGGGGGGGTTCTCCTGATGCTCCAAGGACAGACCATGAGGAATGTGGATGGCAGTCTCATTGCAAGGACACTGCTCCTGCCTTGCTCTGCCCTAATTCCCCTTTACACCCCTCAGTGTCCTTGCTTGACCTTGCCCTGCCCTCATTCTCCCACAGCAAAGGGACAAATCCTTGATTTCAGTTGGGATCTCCTCTGCCTAGACCCTCAAATCTCCCTGTGGAGCATTGCACAGGGAGAAAGGCTGTGCCCAAATCTGGCTCTGATTTTTTTGTTTAGCCTCAAGGCCTGTGCACATTCAAAGAGCTGCCTTTAGATTTAAGCTGGGAGCTTCCCACTGGAGTTTCCTTCCTGGGCTCTTAAGCCTCTACATGCATTTGCATATTTGCTCTGCTTGTGCTCCACACTAACGTCTGCAGGGCTGGACCTCTCCAATTAGGAGGCTTGAAACCTCTGAGTCCTGCTTTCTGTGGCTTTAGACAGGAGCAAAAAAGGCCATGGGGTGAGTCCCAAACCAAGGAAACTGGTGTCAGACTGAGCAGGGACAGGAGTGCAGAGCTTAGAGAGAGGACATGGTGAGGAAAAGTGTCAGAGCATATTTATGAGTGTACATCTTCACTGTGAATCACAGGCACTGCAAAAGGACCTGGAGATGCTTGAATTAAAAGCAGCAGGTCTGAAGTGTGTAACTAAGTAGGCTGAACTCCCCTTAAATGAGCCTGCTTAGAGCTGCTGGCAAGCCCTGCCTGAGATCAGCTGTGCTGCCTGAGGGAAGGGGTATTAGTGACTTGGCTGCTGAAAGAGGCTGCAGAGTCCAGCTGCTAAGCTTGGAAAATATTTGATGGTTGGTGAAGTGTTTTGGAGGCTGGATGTGTGTCTGTGAGAGCCTGCTCTCCTCTGCTGGTGTCCTGCTTGCCAGCCAAGCCCCAGCACTGCTGCTCAGCCACTCACACGTGTTAGAGGCAGCTCTAAAAGCAATCACTGAGCCATCAGTGAGCCTTTCCCTGCCTTTGTGGGATGTCAAATGTTTCTCTGCTGGTGCAAACAGAGCCTTAACCTGCCTATGGCCCAGGCTGGAAATGAATTTCAGCTTTGCTGGCAGCTAAAATCCTGTATGAGAACAGGTCCAGTGGTGGGCACTGAGTATTCCAAAGGGACAGAGGAGAGATTTGGATTAGGGTTAGGGAGAAATTCTTTACACAGAGGGTACTGAGGCATTGGAACAGCTTGCCCAGAGAAGCTGTGGCTGTCCTTGGATCCCTGGAAGTGTCCAAGGCCAGGTTGGATGGGGCTTGGAGCAGCCTGGGATGTGGAAGGTGTCCCTGCCATGGCAGGGGTGGCACTGGATGACCTTTAAGATCCTTTTCAACCCAAGCCATTCTGTGATTCTTTGTAGGACTGAGGAGCTGCTTTCACTGCTCTGTCCTTGCCTATCAAGGCACCAATTTGTTTTAGTAATAAACATTTTTCTATTTTTTCTAATATTTCTAACACGGCAATAACTGGCTCAAGGGGAATCCATGTGACAGGACACTTCTGCTCCTGCCCTGGTGTTATCCTTGCTCAAGGCTATTTCAGGACTATGGAAATCTCCTGGGGACCATTCCCAGCACAACTCTGCACACAAATAATTCCAGGGATGTGGGGGAACAATGCTCTGGTCCCCAGCAGCAGATTCTGTGGCTCCCATGGTCAGGCAGCTTGGTTACCTCTGGAGCTGAGAGAGTTGAGGTCAGGAAAGACCTTGGCTGGACCAACTTTGTCTCATGGTCAGTGTTCAGCAGGAGGCATTGAGTCCCCATATGTCCTGCAGGGTTGGATGTCCTGGAGAACTTGTTCCAGTCTGGTTTGCAAAGGTCAAGACAAAGATAAAACCAAAAAAAAATTCTCTGATGAGCCTGTGGTTGCCCCCAAGTGCCTGTTGTAGATGTCAGCAATGTGGTAGCAGAATTTCTAGAGTGGGAAAGGTGAAAGTCCAGAGATGAATGGAGAATCCTCACTGTTCATTCCTCTCCTATCCCTGTGTTACTGCTGTCCTCCCATTCATCTTCAGCATAAATCGAAAAAAATGACAGATTTTTATGTCTGGGCAGTTGATTTGCAAATTGGTGATGTTCACTCAGGTGATGAATGGTCTCAGGTAATACCTCTCTGCAAAAGCAGGATAATAGCTGATATTTAAGCAGTACACTTGACCCCAAATGCTTAGAAATTCATATAATCAGAGAAAAATGAGGCTGGGAAAAAAAGGATTCTTCTGAGGTCATCTGATTTGCCCTTCTGCCCTACTTATAACGCTTCTGACAGATGTTTGTCTCACCTGTTCTTAACCTCTGGCTATGGAGATTCCTCTCTCTCTCTAAAATCTGTCTGTGCTGTGCTGAAGCTTTCCCTCATGTGGAATCTAAATCTCCTCTCTGGATGCTGAAACCCTTCCTGCTTATACAGTCAGAGGGCACCTTCAAACCCTGTGGACATGCAGGATGTTGGCAGAGGCAGGGCTGCTCTGGATGGGAAAAAAAAGGTTTATTAAAACAGAAAAGCAGCTTCATGTTGGGTAAGGAAGGCTGTGGTTTCAATGTCCTTCATAAACTTTGTAATGGGGCAGCCTGAGCTGGTTGAAGTTATCCCTGCTCATGGCTGGATGAACTTTTGGGGTCCCTTCCAACCATTTTGGGGTTCTGTGAGAGTGTTGTGGAATGCTGGATTTCTTAAAAAAAAAAAAAAAAAGGGTGGGAATGAAAGGCAGTTTGAGAGGAGGATGAAAATGTAAGTGTGTAATTCCTGTCCAGGAGTTGATAATTGGGGGATTTGTTGATTGTCATCACAATGAAATTAGATTAATGGGTGCATTTTGAAGCCTGCTGAGAGTTCCACTCCTGGGATGCTCAGCCCAGCTCACTGCAATGATCTTTTTCTCCTTAGGGGTCATCCTGGTACTTCTCTTTCAGGTATTTCCCCACCTCAGCTGGGTTCTGAATTTGTTCATGGGGAACATCCCAGACTATAGGATCAGAGAATTCCTTCAGGAGAAAGGAGGAGGCAGGCAGGGGAGCCTTCCCCTGTACCCTGGGGACCAAGCAGGTGAAAGCTGTGAGACAAAAAGTGGATGAAGAAGAGGAGGGCACTGGAGACTGACCCCAAAGCAGCCTGAGGGTGTCAGGGCTGTGGGGAGAGCAGAGGAGCAGGGATCCTGCTGGAACTTTGGCTGGAAAGGAAGTCCCAAACCAGGTGGGCTGCTGGTGTGTGACCCTGGCTGTCAGTTCAGGAGCTGCTCACACCCCAGGGCTGCTCTCCTGGCACATCCTGGCCTCATCCTCATCCTCATCCTCCTCCTCATCCTCATCCTCATCCTCATCCTCATCCTCATCCTCATCCTCACCCACCTCCCAGCCTAAGAGAATCCAGTCCCTCCCATGGAAAGCTGTCACCTCCACCACTGCAGCTTCCACCAATATCTGTCCAAGATAATCCAAGTGTCAGTCCCAACTCCTGCCTGGCCTCTGCCTTTTGCTGGTGTTTTCCTTTCCTTTTGGCAGGAAATGGGGTTTGACTGTTTAAATTGCTGCATTCAGTCTCTTCCTGTTTTTCATGGCAGCGCTGTCACTTGGGGCAGAACAGAAATGTTTTCAGAGCTCACTGGCCAACAAAAGCCCTTGTGTGAAGAGCTGGGCAATATTTTCCCAACACTTTGCTACCAGAAGTGGATGTTTGGGTCCCAAGCCATTGTCTGACGAGTGACTTGGCTGTGAAGGCTTCCTGTGGCTGTTGGTAACTCCCCAAAACCTCTCTGCAGATGCTGCTGGGGAAATCTCTGAGAGTTCTGCACCATCTCCATGCGTTTGTTCCTAAAACAAATTCAGGAGAGGGCTCCTCCTGCTCTCTCCTGCTCTCTCC